TGGTTCCTCGAGACGCCGCTCGCGACGCTGGTAGACGCCCTGCGGCATACTTGCGGCTCCACCCAGAGCTGCCGCCCGACACCAAGTTCGGGGTGTGCGACTTTGTGATCCGCCAGTCGACGCGGCAGCTCGACGTCACGATGAACGACGTCAAGCGGCTGGGCGACTGCGTCCGCGCCGTCGGCCACACGGTTCTGCTCATGGAGCCGTTTGACAACCCAATGCCGCTGCGGCGCGCGTACTGCATCAAGGAGGTGTTCCACACGCAGGCGTCGGGCGCTCGCTTCGAGGTGGTGATGAGCTCGGAGCAGCAGGCGGCGTTTGAGACGGCGCTGGTGGAGGACTTTGAGTCGATCGCGACGAAGCTGTCCGAGGTGGATGTGCGCAAGGCCGAGTGCCGCAAGCCGGAAGACACGGAGCTGATCCTGGGCGAGCTGGAGCGGGAGGTTGGCCTGACCGAGTGCAACAAGGCTGTGTTTGGGCTGCTGCGGGGGGCGCTAGCCGGGCAGGGGAGGGCGGCGCTGGGGCGGATGGAGCCAGCGGAGAGGGCGACGTCGACGCTGATCAGCAACCTCGGCTTCCTGCTGTATGAGCAGGGCGACCTGGACGGCGCGGAGGCGCTGTATCGCGAGGCGCTGGAGGGGAAGCGAGAGACGCTCGGCGACCGGCACCCGGACACGCTCACCTCGATCAACAACCTCGGAGCGCTGCTGGAGGCCAAGGGCGACCTGGACGGCGCGGACACTCTGTACCGCGAGGACCTGGTGGCGAGCCGAGAGACGCTCGGCGACCGGCACCCGAGCACGCTCATTTCGATCAGCAACCTCGGCATGCTGCTGAAGGCCAAGGGCGACCTGGACGGCGCGGAGGCGCTGTGCCACGAGGCGATGGAGGGGCAGCGAGAGACGCTCGGCGACCGGCACCAGAGCACGCTCATCTCGATCAGCAACCTCGGCGGGCTGCTGGAGGCCAAGGGCGACTTGGACAGCGCGGAGCCGCTGTACCGCGAGGCGATGGAGGGGCAGCGAGAGACGCTCGGCGACCGGCACCCGCAGACGCTCACCTCGATCAACAACCTCGGCATGCTGCTGGAGGGCAAGGGCGACCTGGGCGGCGCGGAGGCGCTTTGTCGCGAGGCGCTGGTGGCGAGCCGAGAGACGCTCGGCGACCGGCACCCGGACACGCTCCTCTCGATCAGCAACCTCGGCCTGCTGCTGAAGGACCAGGGCGACCTGGATGGCGCGGAGGCGCTCAAGCGCGAGGCGCTGGAGGCGAGGCGAGAGACGCTCGGCGACCGGCACCCGGACACACTCGGCTCGATCAACAACCTCGGCTCGCTGCTGTACGCCAAGGGCGACCTGGACAGCGCGGAGGCGCTGCTCCGCGAGGCGCTGGAGGGAAACCGAGAGACGCTCGGCGACCGGCACCCGCAGACGCTCACCTCGATCGACAACCTCGGCTCGCTTCTGAATGAGCAGGGCGACCTGGACGGCGCGGAGGCGCTGTACCGCAAGGCGCTGGCGGCGGGGCGAGAGACGCTCGGCGACCGGCACCCGGACACGCTCATCTCGATCAACAACCTCGGCGAGCTGCTGAAGGACCAGGGCGACCTGGACGGCGCGGAGCCGCTGTGCCGCGAGGCGCTGGAGGGGAAGCGAGAGACGCTCGGCGACCGGCACCCGGACACGCTCACCTCGATCAACAACCTCGGCTCGCTGCTAAAGGAAAAGGGCGACCTGGACGGCGCGGAGGCGCGGATCCGCGAGGCGCTGGAGGGGTGCCGCGAGACGCTTGGCGACCGGCACCCGAGTACGCTCACTTCGATCAGCAACCTCGGCTTCCTGCTGAAGACGAAGGGCGACGTGGACGGCGCGGAGGCGCTGTACCGCGAGGCGCTGGAGGCGAGGCGAGAGACGCTTGGCGACAGGCACCCGCACACGCTCGCCTCGATCAGCAACCTCGGCTTGCTGCTGGAGGACCAGGGCGACCTGGACGGCGCGGAGGCGCTGCTTCGCGAGGCGCTGGAGGCAAATCGAGAGACGCTCGGCGACCGGCACCCGCACACGCTCGCCTCGATTAACAACCTTGGCGCGCTGCTGAATGCCAAGGGCGACTTCGACAGCGCGGAGCCGCTGTTCCGCGACGCGCGGAGGCGAGGCCCCC